ACATAGCAGCAAAAAAACAAAAACAAAACAAAAACAAAAAAACAAAACAAAACAAAAAAAACACAGGGAATTTTAAAAATTGTAGTTATTACTATTGTTCTTAATTTTTTGGTCATCTTGTGCCTTCAAGTCAACCTTATGGTGATGTTACGGTAAATGTCTCACAGTGTTTGGGGGCCAAGATTTGTTCAGAGGAGGTTTCCCATTGCCTTCATCTGAGGCTGAGAGAGAGTGGCCTGCAAATGTCTATAATAAGGGGGTTCAGCTGGTGCATTGGTGCAGGACTGGAAAGCAATGGAGGGGCTTGTGAGTTTCTGATGGCCACTTCCCTCAAAAAAACAGAAAAAAGTACTTCCCATAAAGTCTTCAAAAATGACGTCAGTGTATCACATTAAAGGAAACTGCTTTCCCAGCTTGTACAACCATCTTCAACAAGAAGCACTGTTCTAGTATTACAAGGACATTTAAAAATATAGGATAGAATATGTTGGCTGGCTCCCAAGCATGTGAACATCCTTTCTTTTTATGTTTATGTGGCCAGTCACTTTCACAGAGAGAGCAAAAGGAAATTTTGAGATGAACCCTCTGACCTACAGAGTATGAAAGCAGTCTTGTTCCGCCTTGCAAAATTTCTGTCTGAGGCCCGGGTGTCTTGCCTAAGATCAGCCAAAGGGTTTCTGTGGCAGAGCGGGTGTTCAGACTTTGGTCACCAGAGTCATACCTCAACACCAAACCACTATACCATGCTGGCATATAATATTCATATTTCAGTTTTTTCTATACACACTTTAATCATTTAAGAAAACATCCCAGTCTTTTTCCACATTCTTTGTCCAGAATTCAGGTACAATGTTTAAAACTTCCATTTGAATTGTTATAGGATTTGATAGTGAAAATAAATGATTTATTAGCAGAAAAGTTAAGTTTCTAGTGATTTTAGTTTGAGCAATATTTTTTCACTATAGCAGTTCTAATCTTTCTATCAATTTATTTATCGTGTCAGAAGTGAATTGAGGGTACAGTTATAATGTATTTTAAAACACAAACAAAGTTAAACTTGGCATTATATTAAATGTCCTTTGACTAGAAGCTGACCACTTAAGTGCCTCTGGTTTCGCTGTAAGGAGGTCCTCCATTGTGTATATGGCAGGGCTCAGGCTGCATTGTAGTAAGTGGTCTATGGTTTGCTCTTCTCCAAACGCACATGTCGTGGACTCCATTTTGTAGCCCCATTTCTTAAGGTTGTCTCTGCATCTCATGGTGCCAGAGCACAGTCTGTTCAGCGCCTTCCAAGGTACCCAGTTTCTGTGTTCCCAGTCTCTCAACCACTATCAGCCACTGATTGAGGTTCCAGGTTTTAGTCTGCCACTTTTGGACTTTCGCTCACTGAGGTGTTCCTGTGAGTGTCTCTGTGGATCTTAGGAAGCTATTTCTTGATTTAAGGCATTGGCTTCTTGACTGATATCTAAGCATAGGATGGGCCAGAGATATCACTGCTTTGGTCCTTTCACGATTGGCTGCTACTTCCCAACAGATGTCAGGTGGTGCAATACCAGCTAAACAGTATAATTTCTGCAGTGGTGTGGGCATCCTGTAATAATGCGGCATGTCTCATTAAGAGCCACATCCACTGTTTTAACGTGGTGAGATGTGTTCCACACTGGGCATGCATTTCTATCAATACTGAAATATGTTTCTTTTTTCACCACTTTTAAATTCTGAGAAAAATGAAAATGGTTCCTAGATTCCCTCCTCCCCCAGCCTGCACTTAAGTTGTGATTTTGTTATTATCTATTGCTAGAGAAGAATATTAGATTGAACTCCACAGAAACATGGGAGATTTATTTATGAGTTTAGATTGTATCACAGTACAGGAAAGTTAATTCATTGTTGCAGTCTGGTGGAATGGCAACACCAATTACTACAGCTCAACTGGAGCACCATGGTTTTCAATGTGCCAATTATACTTGGGTTAACTTGCATATTGGGTGCCTATATGAGTCAAGGGTGCTGCTCGTTTTGTCCTTAAGGTATAGACAAGAGCACCTAATTCCAGTCATTTCTACTATGAGCATCAGGGGAGACTTTGACAAAGCACTCTCTTTGTAGATCTTAACTGTCATATCCTGGGGCCTTGGTTCTAGTGAGTCAGCAGTCAAGCTGTATAAAGTGGTTGGGGACTCTGATATTGGTTCTTTGCGAGTCTTCAGATCAGTGGGAACAAAGCTGAATGACTCCCTCCTTACTTGTGGGTGAAAATGGCTTATGTATCTCATAAAGGTTTGAAAGCTGTGGTAAGGATGGATGGGAAGCTGTTAGGAATTGTGGGAGTTGAAGTCCAAAACATCTGGAGGGCTGAAGTTTGCCCATGTCTGGTATACATAATAATACTCAACCAACCAAAATAACAAAATTAATCGGCCAACAAATCAGCAACTCATGATACATAAACAAAAATAAAACAGTAATAGACATGTTAATTATAACAACAAAAACACTATATGTGTGTGTGTATATATATATATATAAATAAACTATACGATAGTGATAGAATTTCCTGCATACAAGTGACTTATCTTCATATAATAGATAACTGTAGAATGGTTTATGAACTGGAGAATGCATGTGGTTTGGTTTTTATATGCTGTGACTTAATATCACCCAGGGAAATAATGTTTCTCACGAAAAATATTACGGTAACAAATAGTCTTGAGATTTTGAAATTTGTTTCATTGTTTGCAATTTAGTCTTGTATATAAGAAATGGCGAGTTCTGATATGAATTTCCTATACTTTGAACCTGAACTGACTACTTATATTTTTCCTAAATTGTGTATGAGTTGGGGTTTTTTTTTTTGTCAGCTGAATTATTTGGGGGAAGTGACTGTAGTTTCAAAACATGTACCAATGGACTGCACAATGTAGTTGTGCTGTGTGGGTGCATTAGAGTTTTCCCAGCACCATATGAAAGTGGTCATGTGCAAAGCAGTTGTGAGCTTTAACACTCCTACACTTACCTTGGAGCTTAAACCTTCTACCCCATCCAGCACAATGTTTGAAATACCAGTAATCCCTCAGTAATCTTCTTCAAACCTCCATGTTGTGAGGCAGCACTTGCACAGACACTAGAACTGGGGCAAAGCATGTGGGAACAGTCTGTGTCAGTCCTGAACACTTGGTCCACTGTTTCTCTGGCTGCTGTACCTCTTCCCCACCAAAAGGAAGTGAGTCACGTTTATGAATGAGTGAAGTGGTGGCTCCCATGGTTCATTTAATTTCAATCACTATTTTCACAATTACTGGAGTTCTCACACCAACCAAAAATCTCCTGATGACTAGAGTATTCCATTACATGTGTGCTTGAAATTAAAGAGGGAGAATACCTCTTTCCTCTGCTAAATGCCCCAGAGAAAGTGTTTATGATGGAGGCCTAGTGGCCTGGACCATCTTTACTGGGTGCTGACTCCAATCCTTTTTCAAGCTTAATTGTAACTCAATCCCATTTCTATTTGACTGCGACCACTGAGTGACTTTTCTGGTTGAGTTAGTCTGCAGTGCTTTTCATGTTCCTTGATTCGTGTTTGGGCAATGCTGTGTTTGGTGGTCCCTATGTAGACTTGACCAAAACTGCATGGTATATGGTAGAAAGCCTTCAAAAATACATTGCTTCTTTTAAGTTACCAAGATGGAGTAGTCAAAGTAGGGAAGATTGTCCTTTTCCTAGGTTCTTCCACTCTTGCCTGTCATCTCCTTAGCTGGCGAAGCCCCGTAGTCTTATTCCAGCTCCTTCTCTTGGAGCAGACCTGGGCAAATGAGGTGAGGGGGGCGGGAGTGATCTTCTACTTGCTTGTTTGTTGTTCATTCGTTCAGTTGTTTCCGACTCTGCGTGACCTCATGGACCAGCCCACGCCAGAGCTCCCTGATGGTCATCACCACCCCCAGCTCCTTCAAGGTCAATCCAGTCACTTCAAGGATGCCATCCATCCATCTTGCCCTTGGTTGGCCCCTCTTCCCTTTTCCTTCCATTTTCCCCAGTATAATTGTCTTCTCCAAGCTTTCCTTTCTTCTCATGATGTGGCCAGAGTACTTCATCTTTGCCTCTACTATCCTTCCTTCCAATGAGCAGTTGGGCTTTATTTCCTGAAGTATGGACTGGTTGGATCTTCTGGCAGTCCAAGGTACTCTCTGAACTTTCCTCCAACACCACCATTCAAAAGTATCTTATCTTCCTTCGCTCAGCCTTCCCTATGGTCCAGCTCTCACATCCATAGGTGACTATGGGGAATACCATTGTTTTAACTATGCGGATCTTCATTGCCAGTGTGATATCTCTACTCTTCATTGTTTTCAGTTAATTACCCTCTCCCCTCTCTGAGCAGCCCATGAGGAGCCTTGTCCATACTGGGAGTAAAAACAGCACCAAAGACAAGTAAAACAAGAGTCATAAGTATCTCACATTATGCTGAAACTTTTGATGGAATGCCTGGGTGGAAAAATGATGGCAGCAGCAACTGGGGGCAACTGGCTCCCTGAGACAGTGCTGGCATGTTCCCCTTGCCATGGAATGAGCCTTAATTTGCAGAGTATATTAAAATCCATAATTTCTTCTCTCAAATCTTCCCTCAATTTATACATAAGGTCAGCTTTTATACACAAGTGTATATATAGTATGTCTAGACAGAGATGAGTTTGACAAATGCAAGAAACCCACTCTTAATCATGATATATTACATTGAGTATACCAATGATGTGTTTCAAACTAGTCATAATTTAGTGGTGGAATGATGTTAAAGTGTTGTCTCCGATAGATGTGGTTTCTCATGCAGATCCTCAATACAGACTTAGAAGTTCCCTGTAATTTGGACATCACCATGACATTCTAGTTTAGCACATTATTTTTCAACTGTAGTCAGGCTTCTGATGTTTTATGTGAAAAAGTCATTCCATGTTTTTGATCCATACTCGTGTAAACTACATTTGTGGATTTTTTTTTCTTCACAGGAGCAGAAAGATTCAAATCCGGAACATCCCGCCTCATTTACAGTGGGAGGTATGTGACAGAACATTTTAGCACTTCCTTGTGCCCCCTTCCCTATTACTCTGTAGAAACAAAATAGCATCTATCCATTCTTTGTTCAGGGTGCTGTAGCTGCTCCTTTCCTAGAGCTTAAAATCTTGACTGGTTGTTTTGGCAATGATTAGAAGCCCTTTCCCTTCAACAATGCAATATATTATGCACAGGTTTGACAGATGTACATATGAAAAATCCTGCATCTTTCCATTGGCCTTGGTGCTCCCTGTAGCTTTTAAAATTGGCGAATCAGTTCTAGAAGCCTATTTTTTCCTTGTGAAAATTACATGAAACTGTGACCATGCAAGAAACCATAGACTTTGGTATAGTTATCGTATTTGTTTGTCTAACCATTAGTACTTCAAGAAAGTAATCTTGTGCTGTCTCTTCTACATTGTGAATTGCACTTTCTGGTGTCTCTCAGTGACACATACACATTGAAGGATATGTGATCTATCATGTTCCATAAATACATAAAGTGAATGGGCTGCAGCTCAGTCATAGAAGACATTAATACTGTATTTACTTGAATCTAACATTCACCTGGTGAGGACAAGAGACAGGGCCTTCTCAGTGGTGGCCCCTCAGCTATGGCACTCCCTCCCTAGGGACATTAGATTGACCCCCTCCCTCCTGACATTTCGGAAAAAAGTAAAAACCTGGCTCTTTGAACAAGCTTTGGAAATGCGGCGTAACAGATAAACATGGAACTAGAAAAAAGTGGCCATGGAACAGCTTTGCTTCTGGAAAATGAGTTAACAAGAAGTTACTAGTGATGATATGTTTTTAATTATTTTATATGGTTTTATAATGTGTTTTATAATGTTTTTAATTTTGTTTTATGACTGTGTGACATCGAATTGCTGCCAATTTGTGAGCTGCCTTGAGTCGCCTTTGGGCTGAGAAAGGCGGCATAGAAATACCACAAATAAATAAATAAATAAATAAATAAATAAATAAATAAATAAATAGATTTTGGCTAAATCACCCAGGGGAAGCAATAGGGGAAGCTGCTTCAGGAGCTGCACCTGGAGTACTATTTGAGAGATGTCATATCTGACTTAATTGTCATTGCTATATGCCAGTGGTTCTCAACCTGTGTTGAGATGTTTTTGGCCTTCAACTCCCAGAAATCCTAATAGCTGATAAATTGGCTGGAATTTCTGGGAGTTGTAGGCCAAAAACATCTGGGGACCCCAGGTTGAGAACCACTGCTCTATGCTATGTAATCCTGAGATTTGTAGTTTTGTGAGGCATCCACAGTCTTTAGCAGAAAAGGCTCACGGCTTTGTAAAACTACATACTCCCTCCCTTTTTTTTCATATCAGGAGTGACTTGAGAAACTCCAAGTCGCTTCTGGTGTGAGAGAATTGGCCATCTGCTAGGACGTTGCCCAGGGAACTTCCGAATGTTTGATGTTTTACCATCCTTGTGGGAGGCTTCTCTCATGTTGCTGCATGGGAAGCTGGAGCTGACAGGGGGAGCTGAACCCACTCACCCCGGATTACCACTCACCTGTCAGTCAGCAGTCCTACCAGCTCAAGTATTTAACCCATTGCACCACCGGGGGCTCCATACCCCATGACTCCATAGCATTGAACCAAGGCAGTTAAAGTGGATTCATTCTACAGCACAGGTGCACCCCAAGGTTTTCTTTTCCATTGCCAAAAACTTTGGTGTTCCAACACTTTTGTTTTTAAAGAAGGAATTCTAAGCAGGCAGCCACGGTAATGGCTATATCACAAAGAGTGCCCATTACATTCAGCAACAAATCCTTTTTTGGTTTCAGGGTTTTGGAAATTGAGGTGCGCATTAGATTTGGTGACGCAGTAGACTTGGCTAAATTATATGTGTAAAAAGTAGACCTTAAACTCTCTTGTCTCAAGGACAAGGACCCTTTAGAGCAGTGGTTCTCAACCTGTGGGTCCCCAGGTGTTTTGGCCTACAACTCCCAGAAATCCCACCCAGTTTACTGGCTGTTAGGCTTTCTGGGAGTTGAAGGCCCAAACATCTGGGGACCCACAGGTTGAGAACCACTGCTTTAGAGCTCTAGCCAGTGCTAGTTGTTGTAAACACTATAGAACAGTGGTTCTCAACCTGTGGGTCCACAGGTGTTTTGGTCTACAGCTCCCAGCAATCCGAGCCAGTTTACCAGCTGTTAGGATTTCTGGGAATGGAAGACCAAAACATCCTGGGACCCACAGGTTGAGAACCACTGGTATAGAACTACAGGCCAAGGACAGAGCCAGAGCTGGGAAAGGTTCATTTTTAAGAAAACTGCTAGATCCTAGAACATCTCAATCAGCATGTCTAGTCTTCTGATTTATACCACTCTTTATGAACCTAAAGTTTTCTAGTTTCCATAACATTTGAAACCTGCCTAGCCTAGACAATTCATGGATTTGGGGAGCATTTGAGTTATCTGAAACTGTTGCCTACCTGCTTTACCTACCTACCTACACACACTGCTACAGGAAGGGGATATGACACAGGATAAGGATTCTCCTTTAGTATAGAAACACCCCCACCCGATTTCTATCTCTTTGGTCATCTGGGCAATTTTTAGTTTGGGTTTTGCTTTATTTTTGCTGCTGCTTTTGTGCTCTTTTGGTTTTAAAATATGCTTATAGTTCTCAGAATGCATTTTTTAAAAAATGAAAGGCTTTGGGTATACAAGAACTGTGGTATCAATCTTGTCAACAGGAGTAGCAAGTTTCTTCTTGCTAGATGGAGCATCAGGAACAAATGACAAGGCATAACTGTTGTTTTTCTTAGTCATCATTCCCACAAGTACAATGACATGGCTCTGACTAGAAGGCCAATGACTGCTTCTGTTTGGGAGTTTATATGCTAAGAAAATGACTCACTGGCAGTAAGTCAGGTGGCTGAATTCCTGCTTTCAGGTGATGCTTGAACAAGATAGGTTAAATGTTTAATTCTGGGAAGTGGACTATCTGGCAAATGGTGACTCTTCCTCTTTGGGTGAGAAGAGTCATCGTATAACATTCCCTGAAGGCTTATTGCAATGGCAGGTTGCCAAGGATTGCATTTCATGCAGTCATCTCACTGGAGGGGACAGAAGAGCCTCTGATATCTTTTAGTGTTGAGTCTCAAGCTCTGAAGCAATGTACCATACCTGGTTACATTTATCCCAGTCAACCTCAATATAAAACATGTGCATGTTTATGAAAACACCTGTTTGACAGAAAGTCAATTAATTGTCTTTATGGCTAAAAAAAAAAAAAGATGCATTCTGTTATTATAATCTTAAAGGTAAAGGTTTTCCCCTGACATTAAGTCCAGACGTGTCTGACTCTGGGGTGTGGTGCTCATCTCCATTTCTAAGCCGAAGAGCCGGCATTGTCTGTATACACCTCCAAGGTCATGTGGCCAGCATGACTKTGTGGAGCGCCGTTACCTTCCCGCCAGAGCGGTACCTATTGATCTACTCACATTTGCATGTTTTCGAATTGCTAGGTTGGCAGAAGCTGGGGCTGACAGCGGAAGCTCATGCCGCTCCCTGGATTCGAACATGCGACCTTTCAGTCAACAAGCTCAGCAGCTCAGTGCTTTAACCCACTGCACCACTGGGGGCTCCCTATTCTTCCTTGTATGGTTTTTATTAAACTTTTGCACATCAACACAAAGAAAGAGGGAGAACAATAACAAAGAAGATAGAAAAGTAGGAAACCCACATACC